ATTAAACATGTATATATATATTGATGAAACTATTCGTCGTTAATGAATAACATTTGTTACAGTTTTTTTTTTTTTTTGGTATTATAATTATTATTATTTTTCCATGAATAAATGAGTTACCATTATTTTAACACCGATAATACCAGCCAGTATTTTAGCTATTTTATTTTTCTTTATTATTTAGTAACCTAAGATGTTTTTTATTATTGTTTTAGTTGGATTAGGGGCGAGACTTAAAAATTCAAATTTGCGCAAAATCGTCATCTTGTATGAGGAGTCATTTTATAGCCTCATCATTACTAATTTTTGATAAAATTTATGGATATATACCTGAACTAATAGACAATAGTGTTTTCTAAAAAAGTTATAAAAAAGTTAAAACTCAAAGGAAAAATCTATGAAATGTTGTTAATTATTTTACAATAATATAAATTTTCCAAATTGATTTGCTAACACAAAAATTTGGTTGTTTTCTTAAGGTCAAAGCATTAATAGTTTTAACAAATAAATGTTTTGAGTTATGAGCACATAACAGCGGTAGAAATTCTAAACCTGCATACAGCAAGAGATTATGCTTTACAGACACCATTGAAGTTAGCTGTTATAAATTATGTTTTCTTTCTGTATTCTTGTATACTAGCAATATAATGATGTACTTACTTGTACAACGAAACGACATAATATAAATTTACTTAAATTTTGATTTTATTGTGCATATTTTAAAGGCATTTGGATTCTATATGGTGATACTATTATTTACAATAAATACACTCAACGGAGCATGACAAATGACAATACAGATGTTCGTTGTACCTATTATTTGTATTCGAAACATATTACTATAAACAGAAGAGTGCGTTCACCTTTTACCTACAGCAATAGTTAACATGTTGCGCATTACGCACCGAATATATAGCTATTAACTATTACCGACATCCCGAGTTTAAGCAATTTCTAAAATGGACCTTAGTACTTTTTAATGATATCAAAAGTTTCAGATCCTAAGCTGGGTCCTAAAAAATGTCTTTCTGTTTGTATCTGTGTTTCAATAAAAAGTTAAAAGTGTTGCAACTAATGATTGAAACCTTAATATAATCCAAACTTTTATGTGAAAGCATCGATTGTGCTAGGCCGGTGGAGTAAAGAACTCCCCTATAGGCGGTTAGGCCATAGTTAATTTATCATTAACATCTGTACTCAATTGGTTTACGACAAAATTAGATATTTTGCTGTTCCATAAACAATATTACAATTCAAAATTAAAAATAAAATACTCAGTATGGTGTTATATGTTACAGTGTTGTATGGTATCGATTATGGTACCTATTTTGTGTTGAAACAGTGATAACAAGCTCACAAAGACCGCATATATATTATAAGTTTATGAATTAGCGTTTTTGGTGTCGGTATAAAATATTGTATTGTTTATTATTCTTAAAAATAATTTTAAAAACTGTCATCTAAAACTAAATAGTCGACCCCAAACATTTAAAAAAAAATGTAGAAACTATAATGTTGGTATTGTATGCTTCTATACTGTTGGTATCTATAAAGTATTATAAATTAAATATTTACTTAAAATGTTTCGATGTTTCAATTACATATTATAACCTGGTATTTTTTTAAAACGTGGGCGCTAAATATTCAAAGGTGAGACGCCGGTTTCTTTAGTAAAATATTTTAATAATACTACATTTAAAATAACTGCATAGGTACAAAAAGCGCTTTAGGGTCATAAGGACAGAACAATTGTCCTAGAGCGCCACAAATTTTGGGGACATCAAAGACAAGATATATATTTTTGTTTTACATTTTTTTTAATAGATAATTTTAAACAAAATTGATTAAAACATATTTTGTACTCCAATTTTAATTTTTTCATGGTGATCGACATATTGCTTGTATACGACTAGACGATCTTCTTATTTTAACAATGTTATTGGTATTTCTTTTAGACGATTTCGTATTAATTGGTACCTATGATTTTACACTCTGTTATCGGAGCGGCGGACTTTATCCGTTTTATACGCCATAAAAATAACAACATCACGAGTAAAAATATTTTAGGAAACCAATAATTTGTTTAATTTACTGATGTCCATAATACATCCGGATATCGGATATCCCCTTAAGGTTATACAATAAATAGTCACAGGCCGTGTGCGATGCATGTTTCGATGTTCTAGCGATCAATGATCATATTCCTACTTGTTTCATAATTGGTTATACAATTTTAGTCGTTAATCTTTTTAAATTTAAATTTTTTTTCACATCTAAAGGTGATAAAAATAATTATTTTTTTATTAAAAAAAAAAATGTGTTACCAGATTCATTTTGAATAATAACCATGGTTTATTGGTAATATACAAAAATAATAGAGTTATTATTATTTATGGATAACAACAAGTTGATGATTTAGTAATTCATATTGTCGAAATTAGGGATTTATTCGCGAACGGCTTTGATAGAGGTTTAAAATTTAAATGTATGTAGAATTTTAGCTTTCTTGGAAATCATATAAAATTATCTAGGGTGTCAATTACAGTTAGATAATTTAGGAATGTCTGTGAGAAAATGATCATACGGCCAATGCAAATTACTATAATAACATTCTTGGTATACTTTACATGAATCCCACAGAAATTGTATTGCATAATTATTTTGCTATTGTAAACAATTTCGAAAAATCCTTAATCGGACAAAACCATATGATCCTAACCTTAAAGTAATGTTTAATGTTCATGGTAATAACAATGATTTTTTTTTTTATTATAAGACCTCTCTGGACAATTTTGTTTAGATAAATGTGATTTGATTTTTCACTGGAGACATTTTCAATAATGTAAATCAACTTACCACCAATAGTTACATAGATAATTACATACAATTGTTTGAAATTTTTAATTGTTTTCACTCCATTCGCCGACGACCGAAACAATAACAAAACAATTTTACGTAGTACGAGCCAGTACAAGCACTATGCTCCGATTACAACCGATTTTTGTTCGTTTAAAATGTATTTTAATTTTTAAAAATAGTTAAATACCAAAAAAAAAAATAAAAAAATTTAGCAACATCCGTTCATATTTGGCAAGGGTACCCGCTCATTTGAATGAAACGAAATTGCGCGTTCCGTCTAAGCGCGCGTTCCCCCGTCACGCTCATAATGCATATTAGTAATATGTGGAATTTTTTTAGTGCACGTGATGACGATGCAGTTGGCACTACTTTGCAGCTGAAATATGTACCGCATATCGGTTACCGTGCGCAAATCTACGACCGCAGTAAGTAGAATGTCTGATAGACAACACTATACATTTTGCGGCATGTTGTACAATTATCATAAAAAAAATTGGCACTGCAATTCGGGTAACCGTGATAATGATAACACAAAAAGAAAAATATAAAACATACAGAATAAAGCGACTACCAACAGTTAGCGACGCTGCAAAATCGCAAAAAATACGTGTCCCCAAATTAAATACTATGTCAGCTAGTAAATACAATTTTGATAATTTATGATTGTACAGTTACGATACTTACTTTAGTTGATAATGAATAGAAGTCGAATGTTAATTAAAAAATATGCATTTTGTTTTTAGGTTTTTTTTAAACATTTTGTTTCGTATCTTTCAATAAAAATATAGTTATAGGCATTTTTAAATTTGTATGTGACTGTTATCGACAACACAACTGTTTTAAATACTCACTTTAGTAGGATAGTACTATTAATAGTTATAGACACTAGTCTATACCAGTAGGGTAATAGGACCCGACTACTACTATAGGAATTTTTTTTATTAAAAACTTTTGTAATAAAACGCTTGTTAAAAATGATTTTACTAGTTTAACACCGACAACGTTGTACATAAATATGCAAATATCAAGAAACATATTGAAAGTACAAATAAAAAGGTATTTGTAATGTTTATGTCTTTTATAAAAAAACAAACAATTTTATTGAAAATTTGTTTTTTTAATTATTAATTCAATGTGATTGTTTTAGGCAAGTGACTGTACGCGCGCATGCAATTTTTGTTGAAAAAATTGCAGAGGAAAGGAACTTAGCCTTGGATGGTTCCGACCGTGTCCAACGCCATCTGGCCGTTGTGCTTTTAACTGAAGAAAATTTCTATCTATATAGGCGAAAAGTGATTGTGCATGCGTATGTGCAGCGCAAACCCACGTCGGGTGCAATACGTACTTAGCATAAAATTGATAAAATAAATTTTGATAACCTTCATACAGCTTAAAATTGTAGCTCTATTGTCGACGAATAAAATATATTATAATATATATTTTATTGTATAATATATTATATACTTGACGATCGCCGCCCCATCCGTCTTCTTCGATATACTCGATGTGCTTTTTGTTTAACACGGTTGATCAATTTTTAATTACTATCATTACCGTCTTTCCCCTGTGCATGATACACTATAGTGTTATATTTTGTAATATTAATAATTCGCGTCACCTTAACGTCTATCCACTGTGTTGTTATCAAAATCAAACCGAGGATCTTCCGTATGGTTCTGAAATGTTGCTTTTTGTTTTGTTACAGGTGATGTTCGTCAAGCACACGGGTCACGGATTCATCGTTGATATTATTATTAGTTATTTTTTGAAACTGCTAGCGGTTCGATACGCTGACAAGAGTGAGGTAGTTGGTTGTATAGTATCTATAATGAAAATTTCAATGTACTATACAATCGGCTAACTTTTCTTCTGTCGCGCTAAAACGACTCCACGGTCGACCTCGATGTTGTACTCTGGCTGACCAAAGCCGTCGACCGTGCGGACCGCAGTAGTTAACACAATTTATTTTTATATTTGTATTAAATATAAATTACATGTGCTTGTATTGTATTTTGTAATTATCGCTGTAAAATGAATGATCTTAATAATCAATCCGTACGCGGATGATACACAACAATATTTTACTTATACTTACTATATTAGTATGTGGGTCATCGCTTTAGATCCAACAGACTTGTCACTTATCTTAAAAGCCTAATCTCAAACCAAGTTGGTTTAGACAGTTCTAGATGCGATTGGCTTAGACCCGACCTACATCGGTCAACTGTTGCTTTTTTTTTAATTGTTCATTCAAAGTCAATATTACACTTTTATTTATGTATTCTTATCATTATATCTGTATTCCATTCTACTCTCTTCGAATTTCCATAGGTACTATTACAAAGTGCTGATGGAGAAGTCGTGTACATCAGTGTAAAACTCTACGAGCAAATGTCTGGTACGTTATCACACACCCGATGCCTATTAAGATACATTATATTTGTATAATATCTATATTATACTACATTTACATTGTTATTGTGTAGTTATGCACAACTTTTTTTATTAAATATAACTTGCGAGATAACGAAATCTGGGTTGGGTCGACCTAACGTTATGTCTCCAAGTAAATTAATATGAAAACTCTCTTTGACCAATAGTTGTATTATTACAGATGTGGCATGTTGGCCGCAAGAACGTTTGCATTGCAAAATTGTAATGATCATTAATCTTGACACCGAAATCCGCACGGCACAATAAACAACGTCCGTTAGTTGTCCTATTTTATGTCGATGTGTCATTTTGGGGCTAGGTATGTCTTGTTTATTACAATAACAGCTATCAGACAAATAAAAAAAGGACCGCGTTAAGTACTTATACTCAATATGTTACAATGGTCGGTAATACTCGTATTTTTTCTACGTTTTGTTTGATTCTTATTTGTATTTTTACAGTTTTAACGCAGAAAACAAAGCAGACATTCCGGAAAAGTTGCTGATTATAAACTACTGACACGGCACAACCATCTAAAACAATAAACGGGATACCTTTGGATTGACACGACTACACGCAAAAAGTTATGCCAGTGGATTCGGCCAGCAGTCTATTAAGATCTGTAGATTTTAGTTATAGCTTATAAGTAGTTGTATAAGAATTTTGTTTTACACATGCCGACATGACACATGTAGATACATGCTGTATAGTATCGTCTACACTTAACGTCAACACTGTGTATGACTTTGCAAATTTAAATACGAAATTCCTGCATATATTTTATTTTGTAGTAGTACACCAGAGGTAGTGTCGTCCTTTTTAAAATGATTTTAGCTTGCTCGACGATAATTACCAACCACGTTTTCTAGTAGACAACGGATGCCGTTTGTTCAGTAATTAGCAGTTTGTTTGACTTCATAAGTACTTTCATTTTATCAATCCATTTTTAAGTGCATGCGAAATTCTTCACAAAGTCGTTGGTTACTCCGTAGAACATTAGACATGTTATGTAACTGGGTCAGATCATGTTCATTCATTAAGGCAAACGAGTTTCTAACAAAATTTGAATTTTAAAGGTCTAATGGTTATTTAATTTAAAATAAAGTATACGGAGTTTACAGGAGTTATCAAATCAGCAAAGAAGGCAAACATACCTGTTAACCGTTTGTAGGATTATAACGTAGAATGTAAGCCATTAAAAATCGTACACATTAAAAAAAATCGTAAAAATAATAAGTTTATCGATATAGTCTAAATTTGTAGAACATAAATGATTAAAAATTTTAAATTATAATTAAAACGGAGCAAAAAAATCGTGAATATAATATTGTTTTTTGGTCACGTTTTTTTTTTGTTTTATAAAATGTATTATATGCTGGTGACAATCAATATTTTATGATACAATTAATAATATACTTAACAAAAAAGCAGGTCCAGATTATGACTAGTCAAGACCCCAGGGCAAAAAGATATTTTCCTCTCTCCTCTAAAAATATGTTATGTTGTCAAAATGTTGTCTAATGAATAAGTTAACCCCGACACATTGTCCTCCATTCAATCTTGTTTTTAACATTACTTTTTCTCTAGGGAACACGCAAAGAATGACACAAACAGGTTTCTAGACTTTCAATAGTTTTTGGGTTTTAATTCTTTTACAACTTATATTATTTGTTCGCCAAATTAAATACAACATAAACATTTACTATGTCTATTCATTTCAAGTGAATTTTTAATATTAGTTTTTTAGTCGTTTTTATTTAGGTCTGCAAATAAACTTATTAAAATTTATCTTTATGTAAAAACGTAGTAATTATTGTTATTATTCATTTGATGAAAAAATTATTGCTGTAATACCATTATATCATTGGAAGTCCGGAAGAATGTTATCACCAAGTCCTTTATGTGGTCCAGATAGAAAAAAAAACATTTAATGTTACAGCCTCTTAATAATTGATTTAGTATCATAACCATAAGTTTTATAAAAATTTACTAAAATAAATCCTTTAGTTACATTTTTATTTTTTGCTAAATACTCAAACCATTATTTATATTGTAATATAGATAACAATACATTTATCATAAACAGTAAATTGAATAGTATTAAATGATATCGTACAATAATAACAAATATTATGTCTTTAAAAATAAACAAGATTATTTAAAAAAAACGGTCGTAGGCTCGACGATACCCCCACAACCACTAACGGCATGCTTTATAAAATAATTTAGTGTGTGATAAGAATATAATTAACTTTTTAATTTCCACAAAAAAAAACATCATAGTTCCAATACGTACAGAGTGGACTTTTAAACCTTTTTATTGTACTTAAAAACTAGTACTTTTACGAAAGTATATACTCGTATATATAATAAATATTATAATATTTATTTCCATTCGATCTCTTTATAGGTATATAAAGAGGTATAGGTTTTTTTTATCGGGTATGAGATTAGTAATTGACATTAATCGTAGGCTTTAAACGTCGCTACGCCTATAGTGTCCAATAGTCAATTCGGTCGTATCTACAATACAGACTGGCATAAAGGGGTCGACAACCGTTTCAAATTTCTTAGTCTAATGACTAATCAAAACCCAGTCCTCTGCTAATTACTAACATTGTACCTTTTATTGTTTTAATACAATTTGAATGTTAAAGTTTTAATACATATCTGTGAAAAATGTGTACTATTTTTAAAATTTGCTTTTTATTCTTAACCCTTTTAGTTATAGTAGGTATGGGACGTGTACTTTTATGTTTTTATTTTATAGATATGTTTTAAAAATGTTAAATTTTGAATTTAATTCATGACTAAAAAGATTAATTGCTCTATTTACCATAAGACTAATAAGCTAATTTATAGACTTGTTTAAAATCGTAGGAATAGGTATATTACATATTCTAAAATTATGTTAATGAAATGAAATATGTCTGTATCATATTTGCTTATACTGTGTTTTATTAATTGCAAAACAATTTCTTTTAAGCTTCATTGTCGTCTTAAAATCAAATACCCATTTTACATATTGTTAAACAATAATTTCAGCAACAATAATAATTACAACATTAAAATTTAACAATAACAGTTTATAGTTGTTATAGCCGCAATTTGAGAGGGGCTTGGATTTGCTTAGTACCTCCACCTTTGAAAGTAGCAACCCCAAAATTGCTTAAGTTTTTTACTTACAGATATATGTCATAGGGCTTTATAATATGTTTGATCTTTCAGTCTCCCCTCACATTTTTAAGCGCAATTGCGCATCTGTTATTTATGCATTATGTCTTAAAAAATGTAATTTGCTTAAACGTGATAATGTATTTTAATCTTAGCGATATTCATATTTTCGTTATAATATACTATATATTTAAATCAATTTAAAATTGAAAGTACTATTATATAGTATGCATTTAAAAATGTGGGCATAATTTGTAAAAACACTTTCAGTCGTTAAGTCATTTTTTTTGTGTAATTTTAAAATTACCTAAAATAATTGTAGATAACCAATTACACACAACAATTTGCTTGTAAGGTTTTTGTTTTATAGGACATTTAAACAAAATTTCAGACAACTTTAGCGTGTCAAATTTATTAGACTTTTCTGATTTTGAAATGTTTTTTTTTACTTTTAGCCTTCCGGATTTAATTCTTGAAGTATGTGCTATTTAAATAACTGGGTCCAAAATGTCCAGTTATATATTACGTAGATAGATCAAGAAGCCAATTTACATTTCTAGTTTTGCATCGAATGATATCGAAACAAAAATAACGGAAGAAGACTCAGTTAAGTTTGATGACTTTACATATTGATAAAACGCAATATAAGCATATTAGATAAATTTCACTCCAATAACATCATTTAAAAAAAGTATTTATTCTACGATTAACAACAACTGTACATTTTTGTTTCGATGCGAAGATGAGAATGTACTTACAATGATGCGTTTTTTTTTATGCCTGGACCCACGATAGCTTTTACCCCGCTGAACCGAATTCTTTGTGTAGCAACTCTACAGATCAAAAATCGTAACTGAAAGGTACTTATTGGGCCAAAAATTTAAAAAAACTTCACCCCATCCTCTTTAAAATCGTAAAAAACACATAAAAAAATTATATAACTTTTTTTAAAATAGTTGTAATAACCAAATTTGTATGAAGTATTCTTTCAATAAAGTAAAATTGGAAAAAACAAAAAATATCCTAAATCCTTTCCAGGAGGGATAGAAATTTTTCTTTATTTCACTTTTTCAAGAAAGTTTTTAAGGATTCAGGTCTGAAAATTAAAACAAAGGTAAATCTAGAACGGAACTAAACATATACAGTTTTCTTAAAAATCTGTAGTCAAACTTTTTTGTAGTAAGGGAAAACCACCCAAAAAAAGGAAAAATTACACTGTCACCCCTCTGTACTGGCTTTTATATTATTAAAGTGAACCAAGTAGGTACTAGGTAATTAGGTAATATGATAAATAATAATAATTAAAGTTCACTTAGAAAAATGTTCAGCATAAAATACTATTTACATTTATTTATTTGTATACTGTAAAATAGACATCCGAAGGCATAATGTAAACAAAGCAGTAATATTTCTACTAGAGTAGTTATCAAATAAAATTGAATATAATAACACTGTTTACGATGATCTAAAATCGTAATATATAATAAAAACAGATATAATACTATTTATATTAAAATAATGGTATGTGTGTGTATTTACTGTGCATCTATTAGAATTGTTAATGTACGAGCCACGAGGAATTACTCAATTGAGGAATGGTACTTGGGGGGGGGGGCGTGTATAACATTATTTCAGCTCCACAAAAATTGAACTGAAGTTTTGCCTATGGTCATTTGACACTAGGAATGCATGGACGGTACAATCCATACAACATCAATACATTGTTAGGTACATAAGTGTGAGGATTTATTAAAACTAAACTGTGCGGCATTAACCGGTGTGCGAAATTATTAAGAAGTTATTCATTTATGTCTAAATGAATATGACGGACGCCGTTGTACTTACCAAAAAATACCTTATCAAACTAATATATTTTATTCGTAAGAGATTTCACTCCGCTTGTTTATAAAGGAGTAACAGAATACGGATAGGCAATTATTATATCAAAACTTGATATTCAGCTAAAATTAAAATGTCCTAATTATTTAATTCACCGAAAAAAATCCGTAATGCTATTAAGATTTGTTTCCAAATCTTAAAACGCAGTTGTTTAGCCATTATTGCACAAAACATGTCTGGATGTAGCTGGTTTATGAGCAGTTATATCACAAAAATATATCTATGCAAAATTTTAAATCGACACTATCTAGATTTTGTCATGAGCGATTTTTGATAAAGTTTTTAAAAACTGAGTTTCATGTTATTCCCTGTTATTGGTTTACAAATAAATATCGATGTTTAATACAAATTAAAAAATATATAAATGTATTGATTTTTTTCATTTTTAAAGTATTTTAAAAAGAGTTTGTATTAAAAATTACACCGACTTCAAAAAGTAAATTTGTAATCCTATTGTGCATAATGATTATAGTAGTATATATTTATAAGTGCTCATTAATAAAAAAACATACTTGTTATTGCAATATGAACACTACTTATATTCAGGTTTATACATATAAAATTATCTGGATAATAATAAATGTATTTATTGTGCATTTTGTACGTATCTTTTTGTTCAAACAAACGTATTTTTTTTACATCTAAACTGCGTAGTTCCGCAAAAAAATGCACGTTCCGGGACATGTTTTTATATTATACATATAATAAGAGACTTGGTGCCCTGTGTGCTGTTTACGTCATAAATATATTTATTCTAAATTTTTACAATGATGTTTTTTTTTTTACTTTCTGTACACTAATTTTTTCCTGGGTAATCCATAACGGAAGACAAGGTTTATCTGTGAAAATAGTTACAACTTTAAAGTTTTTCTTTTTGGACACATTTTAATTAATGCTGTTTTAAAATATTCAATTTTTTTTGACATTTTTATGTCTTTGCTTTGGCACATAAACGGAAAAATCGACACCATTAACAATCGGCACCGGTTATCATAATGAAAAAATCAGCTGATTTTTATCTAATAAGATAAGAGAGATAAGAGATAAGGGAAAGAGATAAGAGATATGGTTTTTACTTTGGAACACAACCGGAAAAATCGACACCGACACCGGTTATCATAACGAAAAAATCAGCTGATTTATCTGACAAGATAAGAGAGATAAGGGAAATAGATAAGAGATATGGTAAGGGTAAGATAGGGGTGAAAGATGGGGTTGGGGGGACATATATGTTGTATTCATAACGTTCAAAATAGAAATGAATAGAAAAGAATTCAATAATTTAAGGGGCCAAATTCTCTATGAATTTTTTTGGGCCAGATGTTATGAAAACACTAAAATTTTAGCCAGAAACTTGATATGTTTACTATATTTCAGTTTAAAAATTGCAGTTTTTTACATTGAAATGATTAATTAACTAAAAATAATTAAAAAATTGTACTACAGTCGATGCATTGAAATTGCTATAAAGAATTCAAATGTTTTTTTTATTACTTAAACCGAAGTATTCTTAAGAACAGTACGTTTAAAGTAGAAACATGTTCTTGTACATGTAAATAGATCCTATATGCGTTATAAAAGTTGAAAAAAAATTAATTATCAAAATATATACTTCTTTTCAGTGGTAATATACGAGTATATATTGTATAACAATTTTAGCTTAATGTTAGATTTTAACGAAAAATTGCCTATACAATGCGCCCTATTAAGTGCTAGTGTAGAGGCCCCTTAAACATTTTGGTCGATAACTAGTTTTGTACAATTACTTTTTAAGTAATTAGAGCTGGTAATTTACGACGGGAGACGGAGTGCGGTTGAGTAATGCGCGCAGGTAAAACAACAATACTCCACCCTTGTGTGAACGAAATCCATCCATGTTGTTGGGGAATGAAATGCTTGAAAAATAAAAATTTAGTTAAGGAAGTATAATTTATTTAAAAAGGGATAGTAGACATGGACTAATGGATCTGTAATTTTTAATATTGGATTATCCCCATTCATAGAAATAGGTTGTACAATAGATTATTTCAAATAATCAGAAGGTACACCAAAGGAGCGAGATATAAAAAATAAAGTCAGCGTAAGTGCGTAACGACACTGGTTAAGAATTAAATAGGGAATACCGTCGGGACCGAAGACTGTAACAGACTAGAGATACTAGATTGCAGGACACATCTGCATGAAGTGTGGATACTCTTAACTTCTTATTTTCTTTTACATTTTATTGACACGGGGATCTGTCTCGTGTGACCTACCTTGTCGTGATGGGGGGGACTCACGGGCTATTAATTGAGTCCATGCTATGCGGTCCTAGGTACTAGAGCTGGCCCTCACTTTAATTAGTCGGGGTCGCCAGGTTTGGTCCACCAGCTAGCACTTAGGCCAACGGACCAAGAGAAGGAGACTCCTTAAAAACCCAACCTCGAGAAGGACACTAAACCAATTAGTTAGGTTTCCTGACCAAATTTGGCGACTAAACCGTCGTTTCTAAAAATCTCCTGGCCTGGTTGATGTTAACTCAATTCAACCCAACTCAAGCTAATCCCAAAACGGCCTCTTACAGGCCTCAGGTCCACCAGACAAAGAAGCTCCAACGTTGATACCAAATACCTTAATATGTTAGCTTAATTATATTTAACTACTCTTATTTATATTTACTATAAAATG